GTTGCTTAACTCTAGCAAAGACAAGCTATTTTTCACGAGTCTAGACCTGCCTACATAGATAGCATGAATCCTTCAGCCCAGCCCTAGTGCTTGGCTAACCATTTGAAGCATGCTACTGCTTTCAGGGAGGATCTGCTGGGAACAGTGGAGCTTCTGCACTGATTCCTCTATTTTCACCCAGGACGTGCAGCAGCACTCAACATGTCAGGTAGAGTGTGGATAGTTGTGGCTGTCCCTGCTCACCATTCCCAGGCACCAGCTCCTCTGACCCTGGCCCAAAAGGGGAAAGCAGCTTGTTACGTCTCTGCACATCTCTGTTGATGCAGGTGGCTGTGTCCACAGAACCGATGTCACTGTGAAATGTGAGGCTAAACTGGAAAGTCTGTGCGGAGTTTTACGGGAAGGAGATCCATCCAGGGGAGCTTCACAGAAAAAGGTACAGAGCTCCTGGATGCTTCTAGATGAATAGTGGCTGGGTCAGAGGAACTCCTGCTCCAGGAATCATATAAAGTCATATAAAGGACCCATAGATATGCTTTTCCCATTGGCCTGATAATGGTTAATATGGAAGGAATTAAGGAATAATTTCAGTATTTCTTTCCCTGCTGTCTGCCAGTGGCTCTGCTCAGTTATGCAATGTCGTGGTTCCTCCTTACAGCAGTTTCATCCCCTATCACTAGCTTACTCCTGTTGCTGCTTGGTCATCAGATTATTACGTGCCATCCTTGCTAGTTATATTTCTGGGTTTTCCAGAGTGAAGGATTTATGGCTGTGGGAAAAAAAACATCAACAAGATGATAAGGATTGAGCAAGAGTAAAGTGCACTTTGCATGATAAATCCTCATTCAGCCGTTTCCTGTTGCCTTATAAAGATGGATCACTCAAATTCTGTCTGCAAAAGTTCACATAAATAAACTTCTTGACATAAATAAATCCATTAAAATCAGGAGATTGGCATCAATTGCAAAATTGCTGTAGTTAGAATAGAAATCAAATCCTCTCTGTATTTTTATTTTTTTCTGAAAAGAGCATCCCAACTATGATCTCCATATCTTACAGTTATTCATACTTTTCTCCTCAGATAAGGAAAGTTCTTCTGGATCCATTTCCAAAACCAGCATGACTGACAGAAAGCAAAAAGCTGAATCTAAGCAAAAAGTCTGTGGCAGAACTGGGAACAGAAACCAAACCTTTCCTGCTTTGTGTTCAGCTTCTGTCACCAGTGCAGTAGGAATCTCTGAACTAAAATTTCATATGAACTCATAGTTTGCAGTAAAAAGCTGTATAAACAGATTCAAATAATCTTATTTTCTTCTGTGTTATATCTCAGAAGGAAATAAAGTTCTTTTATTACCAGGGTGTGATTCCATTTCTCATAACAGACATTTCACCTCAGATGATCACTATCATCAGTCTGCAGAAAACAGTATTTCAAGTTTTCTGCTATATATCTACCTAATCTCCTAGCACTGAGAGGAAATGTGTTTCCAAGAGCATGCAAGCATTTAAGGTCCTATACGAATTCCATTGGAGTAAATCAGCATTTTAATGTTCAATATAGGTAATCTCTCACTAAGAACTCATTTCAGGTTTTACTCATATATATTTTCCATAAAGTTCCCAGATGAAGACATTGGAATTGTAGACCTGTTTGACACTGCCAAGGCTTTTCAAAACTAATTGTTATAAGTTTTAAAAAAATCACCAGGAAAAAAGGGGGGGGGAATAAGTAATAGTAGATAGATTCTGCTCTCCAGTTGAATCATAGCTCAAATTTCTTTTTCCAAAAGATATGTCATACGCAAGTAGTTAAGACTACAGACCAAAACCCTTAATTAAGTATAAAGGTAAATGAACCTAGAGATAGTATATGTAACTCCCAGAATTAAAATAAATGACAGTAAAGTGGTGAGTAACCTGAGTGTTGGTGAGGTTAAACACCAGCCCTTCCAGGACCTGAGCCTGGCTGGTGGCTCTGGAGCCCAGAGCCTGCAGAGATGCTGACAAGGAAGAAAAAAAAATGCTCTTGGGCAGTCATTTGTCTGTAAAACTGGAAGAAAAAGTCCATGTTGCTGGGTACTACCCATTGGTAGGACCAAAAAAGAGTCTCCCTCATGAGGTTGCTGCTCCTGCAGTGCTTAGTTTTCTTATTCTTCTTGTGGCCATTGGAC